TAGTTGCAGTACTTCTTCAGGCCAACACTAAGATAGTAAGCGTAGACAGCCCGAGTTGAAAGGTAGAAGTCCCTACTTATGCACAGTACTTGCATCTCCCAGTTGTTTACACATTTATGTTGTACTGCAGCTCATGAGTGCTTCAAGTGCATGTTGATTTGTCAGCCCATAGGGTAGTTGTGCAGTGCAGGACTGATTAGCATGATGAATGTCTCGCAGGAAAAGGGTCGTACAGCTTTGCGTTGTCAGCACACGTTTATGCAGGGTTGCAGGGCTTCAGAGGGACAATCGTTTCTAAACTAATTCAAGTGCCAGGTGCGGCAAGCTCGCCAATGGTCCCTCGATGAAGTGGAACGCCTCAACCCAAGAAAGGCAGCAAGACGCTCAAGCTGAATCGCTGAGCTCTCCTGTCTATCGCATGTGTGATGCGCATTATTTAGTTGAGGGAGGTAAGGGATTCTTGCATCTGGGCGTACCTGACTCGTTTTGTGGAGCAGCTGCTTCTTCCACCAGCTGAGGTCAAATGAGAAGCTTTTTCGAACTCAAACGCCAAGTTTGTCCTAGCACGTCAGCGTCCAAGGTTTGCTGGCAGTCACTCGGAACTCGGAATTGATAGTGCAGATCTGCCCTTCCAAATGCGAGGCCGATTCTGGTTCCACTGAAGGAGCTGCGGCTGCATCATGTCAAGGCGGGTCTCTCGAATAGGTGAGATGAAGTGGAGTCGCGCGATCCGGCTGCTTGCCCGACAGACCGGCAGAGCTTCCTCACCTGAGCAAATGCGATTGCATCGTAAGGAGGGCACCTAGAGCACTGCATGAGGCATAAGGTTGCTTCAGCATTCCTACTAAAGATCAAGTTTCTTTCGTGGTGTGCAGGATTTCTCCACCGGCAAGGCGCCGGGCTGATTGCAAAGTGTGGAAGGAAGATTCCTGTACTGTAGGCAAGAGTGTCTCTGTAGAGAAAACCGCGCCCTGGAAGGCTACTCGTCCTTCGCTGTCTTCCAGGCTGGAGGACCTGAATGTCAAGAAGATGTGTCAGTCACAGCACAGGTCAGCTTGGCGCCCAGCAGGACGACCTGCCGAGGCGCGTCAGCTTTGCCTCTCGACCCGTCGTGTTTAGACATGTGCGTGAGATGATGCCTTTTCTTCTTGGACAAATCCGGACACCCATCTCCATGCATTTTAGTCTTCTCACTGCCGTAAAACACAAAGAGAGAAAGTCTTAGCAATGCAAGATTCAGCTTATGTGAAGAGGTGTCTGAAACATCATGGTCTTGCAAACTGAAGCTGGATATTGGTTTGGACTGCGATGATTGCTGTACTTGACAATGAGTATCCCAGGTGCACATCCCAGGTCTAAGGCAGAGAGTTACTCTTGAACCTTTGTTACGGAGCATTGAGTTCTTCCTACTTCGTGCTGGGCTCAGGGAAACAATCTACACGGGCCCTTGCATTGAACCTCTGAACTATCCCACTTCTCTCTACCCAGTTCTGATACTTGTATCCCCGATGGCCTGTTGACACACTCAACATATGATCGACGGACTACAGTTCCGTTTCTTAAAACATGTCTGGTGGGAGATCATGCATTTAGTTTGTAAAGCGAGATGATCCCCCGAATAGCGAGAGCATCATTTCTGGGTTTCAATGCCAATTTGCTGGATAACGGTTCAAGGCCCAACTGAAGTGCTGTAAAACGAGGGAGTCATAGACTGTCAGTTGGTGCAGCAGCCGCTCGAACATGCATGAAAATCTGGCAAAGCACTCTCATTAGGCCGTGAGACAAGAGTCTCCGAGCTGTGCGTGGGGCCACCGCAGCTGGCAGCTGCGAGTTGGGCTGCGCCTGGGGCTACCGGCTACTTGGTTGCGCGTGCGGGCCTGGTGCCGCTGGCTACTTGAGTGCGGTGCTGCTGGCAACTTGGGTGCCCGCGCGGGGCCTGGTGCTACTTGACACCTGGCTGCCTGGCGGGACGGGTGCTGTCACTGGTTGGTTCTGCCGGTGGTCGTTTCATGTCGTTTGTTCTGCACATCCCTGGGAGAATGTGCTGTTTGGGGGTGCTCCTGAACCCGTCCCACACTGCCGCGATGCGCCAATGTGGGTTGCTCGTTAGGGATGCTCCTTCAGGCGCCTAGCTGCTCATACCTGTAGTGGTCTTTAGTGGGCCTTCAGAGCCTTTGGCACCCTGCCGAGGTGCGCCAATTTGGGCGCTAGTTGGGGGTGCTCCGTCCGGCCACGGTCACAGGACGAGAATCCCAGCACACATGAGGCGAAGGGCTGGTGCCCAGCAACTGGCGCTTACACTGCTGGGAAGCTCCACTTGACAGGTGACGGCAAACAGGTTGTTCGGGGCGCTCCTTCCTGGTGGACCAGGGGTGGGCGGCGATGGCGGCGGCGGTTGCTGAGTGCCAGCCTGCGGAATGCAGCGAGGAGAACCAGATGATGACGCGTACGCTGACGCAAAAGATGCCGCGCTAATCTCTCGGTCGCAGTTCATTCCAGGCCCCAGCAAGCACAACACAGGCTGAATACCACTCGGCTTCATTTGAAGCCCTTCCCCACCCACCCCTGGATGACGCATCCAGCAAGAGTCGGAAACAGAACAGGCAGTAAATCTTGCGGTAGTTTGGAGGCAATTGGACATTTAGTTGCCAGGAAGCCTTGTCATGCCCTCGGGTTCACCGCGGAAGTGAATTTGTTTGTCCGATTCAAAGGGGTCATGTGGAATCTACAGAGGTTTGAAACTAGTGAGATTATGCAGAGCTTACAAGGTTAAATGTTGACATGCTATTAGTAGAGGGGGTGGCAATAATGTATGATATACTGTTGCCAAGCCAGAAGAATGCCGAAAGACTACATTTGCTGTCTAACAAGTTCGGAGCCCGAAGAGGTCTAAACGAGTTCCATCGGCAATACTAAGGGGCTGGCAATAAGAATATTGTTTGCCCGAAAATCTCCCGATTTCAGGTTTGCAGAGGCGAAATGTTATTTAGATTGAGATGCTTGCAGAACAGACTCAGCAGAACACAGTACTATACTATACCATACTATATATTATATTATATACTATGTGTACTACTTGGTACTATGTCCCGGTAATTTATTATTGCGAACCCCCCCCC